AAGGACTCTTGAGAAGATTCTTTATAATGCATTATCACCACCTGGAGGTGAAAACATGTACTACATAGTTTTGTTTTCTTTTCAAGGCCTTTATAGAATAAAACTAATCAGTCGAAGTCCAGCTCAACTCAAACATTAGCACTTTTTCTGCAAAATAGTTTTTTATCATTGAACTTTTGTATTTTTAAAGAGCAAATTGCAGGTAAAATGTTTTTCTAATTCATATAAAATGCTGTCCAAAAATACTATTTAAAAAGCTTATTGTTGATATTTGGTTTTAAAATACATAACAGAGTTTTTTAGTAAAAAGAGGCCTTTCTCAGCAAAGTTTTTTTCTAAATGTGAACCTCTGACGTAACCAACTGGAGTCAGAAGCTCGGCGCTGCCTCACCTCAGTGTGGAGATTGGCTAGTTTTAGGGTAGAGAGGTCATGTGATCCAGTCAGTGTGTGTTTACTAGTGTAGGATTGTGTTCATGTTGATAAACTAGAGATTGTGAAAGCTGTACCAACTCCAGCCTGTCTGGACATCGAGTCCACGGGTTTCCAGATGAGAGAAACATTGCCTCTATCTCCGTGCCTGAGGGCGTTTAGTGCAGCTGAAAAGACGGACTTCTGTAGTCCGCATCTGTCGGTTCCGGGTCAGGGAGGTCCGCGCTGGGCTCCAGAGACCCGTGACAGGGTTTACAAAACTAAATGCGGATTTCAGGAGCTCAGATCACCATCAGAACCAAACTCCAGAAAAGACGTGTGGCTCAGCCGGGTTGGAACCGGACAAGAATCGCCGCCTGGACCACCAGGAGAGGATGCGTGGCTTTTAAAAATACCAGCTTGACTGTCTCGCTCGTGTTTGGGTCAAATCCAGCTCACAGAGGTCCGCATGAGCTCCAGAACCGGATCACAGGCTTCTCTCTCTCAGCTCAGTGGACCAGCCGAGCAAGCTTTCTGGATCGGAACCAGATCAGAACCACCTGGATTAAGCTAACAGGACTCCCTCAGATGACGTCACTTGGTTTGGCCAAGCACACTGGCGGGTGCTTCTGGAGGCCCAGCTCCCACTGGAGGATCCACTGCTGGATGGGCTCTCAGAAGCTTCGAGCCTGATCCAGCCCAAGGAGAGGAGGATAAAAGATGTGGATCCAGAGATGACCCCCACAGGCAGGCTCAGGTGTTGCACCTAGCGGGTTAGCGTTGGTGGCTCACTCCACCATCTCGGGAGCACCCCAGGAAGGGCAGGGGCTAAACCCCCTCCCTTTGCTGGTCAGAATGTGCAATGGCACATGTGCTTAATCTGCCCGCCTGCGAAGTGCATGAAGAGTAGGGAGTAGATAGCCTGTTTTTATTGTTTTATCGGGGGTCTCTCTTGTTTTGATGTGATCCTCGCTTTTAAAGAAAAAGTTTTAAAAGTTACTATTGTGTCCTGTACTAACTTTTATCCTTTTTCTTTCATTTATGTGTGGGGGTGTCACGGCTGCCAGCCTGAAGAGGGAAAAAGCAGCCAGGATCACCCAGCTCTGGTGATTGACTGGACACCGCCCCTCTCCTCTCTTCCAGGCTGCTGAGGAGCACAGCTGAGCTGAATCCTCCTGATGAGCCACACCTAGGATAAAAAGGCTGTGCCTTCAGCAGTCTGGGAGACGGCAGTGCAGGGGTTCTGCTGTTCTCCATTCTTCGTTTTGATTTAACCCGTTCGTTCGTTCGTTCGTTCGTTCGTTCGTTCGTTCGTTCGTTCGTTCGTTCGTTCGTTCGTTCGATCCTTCGTTTTGATGAGTTTAACTTTTATAGTTAAACTCTTGAGTGATCCTGTGGGATCTTGTGTTCGTTGGTTTTTAAGGCAATTTTATTGACTTCGTTTTTAAAACACCTTCTGTTCCGGTAAAACTTTAAACATAAGTTTTAACCAGGTGTTTTATGTCAATGAATTGTTTTAGAACTTTTATCAACTTTGTGGATTTAGAAACACCTTCTGTTTTGGTGAAACTTTTAATAAGTTTTAACCAGGTGTTTTTAATGTTGGTAACTGCTCTTTTAAAGTTAACCTTTTTGAGAGTATTTTTGTTTAGCATTATCTTAATAATGCTCGCCATCTGTTTGCTTGTGTTTTTAATACCTTTTGTACAAATAAACCCATTTTAAACTCCCCCGCGAGTTTTTATGATATCCCCATCCTTCACATTTTACCATCTCATGTCGGGGACGTAACATAAATGGGCCAGTCATCCACGAAGCCATCTGTTGTTTAAAACCTTGAAACAAATAAAACACCATTAAAATACCACCACCAGGGATTGTACATTCCTTCACGGTCTGCTGTTAAAATAAAAATCCCGGACGAGCCCCCATTTTACTGGTGGCCTCTGGCTGCGTGTAAGTCAGCCAGCGGTCACGTCCAGAGCGGGGCTGACAGGCCATGGGCCACAGGGGCTAAAGGAACAGGAATCTAACAGCAATTCCACCTGAAACAGAATAATTAAAATTAGAATCATGGTTATGAATGATGTATTGAAATGAACGGACCTTTAGCCAGACTGGAAAAATTGGTTATGGTTATAACGGAGAGAAAAAGAACAAAAGTCCCACCGCATGAGGATTAGGAGAAGTGCCAGCTGGTGAATTAATTTTTCAGTTTTCAGATGTGCTCTAACCACATATCACCATTAGGGTACGCCAAAGTACCTTTCTTATTCTTTACACTATTTTAAATAATAAATTACAGCAAAAATACAATGTGTTTTCAGTTACAGTTTAAATCTGTAATACCTGTCTGTACCAGGCAGCTCAAAGATGAGGCAGGGTAAAACAACCAAGCACCGGTGGTTAGCACAGCTAGCAAGCCAGAGGTGGACTGTGGAGAGCTTCTGGCCGAACGTCCTGAGGGAGAGCGGCCAGGATCGTGTAGCAGTCAGGTGGAGAGTGGAGATTTCCAGCTGAGATTGGGAAGTGGAGGAGTCTGAAGGAAAACGGAACCAGGTGCTGCCAGGGGTGGACTGGGACCAAAATCCAGCCCTGGCATTTTTTGTCAAGACCAACCCAATACAGTATCAGTGGAAATTTCATCCAAGCCCACAAATCTCACAGCATCTCTTCTGTTGCATACGACAAAGGAGTCCTATTCCTTGATAGCAATTAACACATAAAGCACGTAAGCGTGAGCTCAAGGACTAAACCTAACAGCTATATCAGTCAGTCTTTATTCATTATAGTGACGAATCACAACAGACGTTATGTCATAACTAGGGGTGGGACAAGACTGGCAGGAAGAACCTTCCTGATACCCTTTCAGTTTATAGTCTGTGACTGTGAAAATGTTTTATGATTTCATAAAACATAGAAAAATTACAAACTCACCTTACTAGAGGAGATAAACAGCTGAACTTTTATGCAGTGATGGCAGAAAATGGAGGCAAAGAGAGAGAGGAAGTCCTCGAATGTGGACGGAGGGGCAACAACTCCTCAAGCTCTTAAATGTCAAGTGGTCCACCTGAGAGGGACATGGAAACATCAAGTCTCAAATAGGGATGGACATTATATCGGCATCACTCAGAACCACACATAACAAACCAATAGAGGGCAGACTTTGACAACATTTAAGAGCAGATGGGTTGCTCACTTTCATTCAATAGCTTTAGCAATTTTAACTTTTATTGTAAACAAATGTTTTATTTCTTTATTGTGGCAATATTGTTTGTTCTTTTGATGATTTATTTTGACTTTTTGATGGAATCTGCAGATAAAATGGTCATAAATGGGAATGACTACAGGAAAATGATGAGATGCATTTTTCAAAAATAGAAATTCCTTCTTTGAAATGAGTATTCTTAGAGGTTCTTAAAGGTTTCTGAATAATACCCGCAAAAATGAAGCCCGACTTGGGTTGTCAAGCTGAATGAGGAAGTTGCTCAAGAGAAGGAAAACCGGTCTGGCCGCACATGTTATTACAACACCTTTGACTTGTAAAGAGAAAAGATCGAAGCAGAGGTGTGAAACTGCAGTTCCGTACTCAGCGCTAACATTTTAGACTGACAAGATGATGAAGAAACTTTTAACCCTCTTGTCGCTTTCTGCTTTTGTCAGTTTAATCATTTTCTCAGCATTTTTATACAATGGCAATAGGGCCTCTATGGCTTTTGTTAGTGTTTCACGAATCGTCAAAAGTAAGACTGGGATACATTTATGGACTACAAAAGAAAATCTCAAGGACTCCAATATGCTTCAAGGAACCACTGTGATGGGGAAACCTCCCTGGAAAGAGATTAAAACGGTTCAGAACACCACACAGGTGCCAGCTTCTTCAGGGAAAAGCTTGGAGTTGTGCCCTGAAACTCCACCAAACCTCGTGGGTCCACTGTTTGTGGAGTTTAGTACTAAAAGGACTCTGGAGCAGGTCAGGGAGGCAGTTGGTGGTCCTCTTCAGGAGGGGGGACGGTACAAGCCACCAGAATGCATCTCACGACACAAGGTAGGTTAAAAACTCCTGGCATCGGCACTGTGAATATTCCTTTCTCCATTGATCTAAATCTGGATTAAGTAAATGAAACAGGAACCTGTACAGTACCTCCCATAACAAGAATAGTTGATGTAAAGGAGAAGTTAACAAGTTCACATACCAATAAAAGTTGTAATTATTCATTCCAAATAGGAACTTATGTCACTTCATTAGGAGCTGCAATGTTATTAGGTGCTGTGTTGATTCAGGAAAGTTATTCTACAGTGTTGTTTACCCTTGAAAGAATCATGTATGTTTCATCCAGCTTTTGTTTGACATAATTTAAATTTAACAATGAAAAATCAAAATTACAACTTAAAGCTAAATATAATAGAACATGCATTAAACGGCTTATTTATTTTTTCATCTTTGCACATTTTTCATCATGAATTCAATAAAAGTCACAAGTTTTTTTATATATATATTTTTAGTATACATTCTTTCTAATATGAAATAAGACTATTTCACAGAAATGATTGAAATCCTAATTTCTCTTTACAACATCTAATTATTCTTTAGGTGGCAGTTATCATCCCATTCCGAAATCGGCACGAGCATCTGATTTATTGGCTTTATTACCTCCATCCCATCCTGATTCGACAACAGCTGGACTACGGCGTGTACGTCATCAACCAGGATGGGGAAGGTGTGTTTAACCGGGCCAAACTCATGAACGCAGGATACGTGGAAGTACTTAAGGAATATGACTACGACTGTTTTGTCTTCTCTGACATCGACTTGGTGCCAATGGACGACCGGAACTTCTACAAATGCTTTGACAATCCGAGGCACTTGGCCGTGGCAATGGACAAATTTAACTTTCACTTACCCTATAATACCTACTTTGGAGGGGTCTCGTCTTTGTCCAAACAACAGTTCACAAAGATAAATGGCTTCCCAAACACTTACTGGGGCTGGGGTGGCGAGGACGATGACATCTACAGACGAGTCATCTACTCCGGAATGCAGATTTCCCGACCAGACTCGTCGACTGGCATGTATAGGATGGTCAAGCACGAACGGGACCTGCACAATGAGCCTAATCCACAAAATCCTTGGAAAATCAACAGCGCTCAGCAGAATATGAAATCAGACGGGCTCAATTCGCTCAGTTACACAGTGAAGGATGTTCGTAGGGATCGATTGTTCACAATGATTACTGTGGATATTCAGGCTCCACCAAGTTGAGCAAGGCTGTCCTAAACTAGGGAAAATTGGTGTTTCACCGGGCATTTATTCACATTCTAAAGAAAAGGTGGATGGTACTTTTCGACTCTTTGTATTTGAGCGTTGGACTGGTTTTCTTGGTGTGGGTGTGTCTGTGGAAGCCATCTTTGAGTGTGGGCCCAGGTGGCCGCACACCGAATGTGAACTTCACGAACATGAACATTGGATGATGGTAGTTGCTTTGGGACAAAAGTGAAACACTCTGCAAATGTTGCAAACTTGCACACAAATGTCTCTTGTCTTGGAAGAATATATTGTTACTAGTATTTTAAAATATAAAGAAAATGTTTCTGTTTCCCAGGCACTTAGAATTTGGTCGATCAAACCAAGATAAAAGTCAGTCATTTCTGTAATGTTGGTGAAGTGAGTCCATTTTTAAATTTGTTGTCTTACATATTATTTATTTGTTTCTTTGAAATTGTGAACAGAAATTAAACTGCATTGGAATGTCTCATAGCTAAAAGTATCAGTGCTGTCTGTAAATACCAAAGCTAGTGGAGGTAAAACGATCCCAGGAAACCTGTTCAGTGAAAAGTCTCGTACTGTTGTCTTTACGGTAATTCCATCCCTACTAACTGGAAGTGCTGAACATATGATGGGTTTACTGTAATTGGCGACATTATCCGTAGACCTTCACAGGATTTTTAACCGTTTTTGATACACGTTTACTGTTTTCAGCTACTTAACTAAACAGGGAAACTCTTCAGACCTCTGACTTGACATGATTGTAGCTGCATTTTGAGCAGTGACCATATTTCAACGATATTCATGAAAGAATATCATCAATATAAAGGGACTTCCAAAGCCCCATTGTGTGATTTTCAAGCAAGAATGGACACCATCTGAGAAACTTTGGAAAATCATTAACAAACCAGCGTAGATCCCATTTCACGTTGGAAAATGACCCTTGGACATTCCGTTGCTGTGAATTAAAGGTTGCGTTGCTGTGAATTAAAGGTTATATCTGATAATCCGAATTTAATAAAACAACATTACAAACAGTGTAGATATGCACAGAACCAAAGCGACTGCACCCTAATGTACTTTGTATTTTTGTTCTGGTATGAGTCTTTGCTCTCACTGAGCTTTAGCTTTTGTCGTTTTTTTTTATCAGCTTGTTTTTCACTGAAGGCTTCTTCTCTGAATTTACCAAAAGTCTTCTCTGTTTCAGGTCTGGTGGCATTCTATGTCTTGCCTAGATTTCCCCTCTTTGTTCCTTGTTTGTTTTCTTTTCTGTTTTTTCCTGCAGCGCTCAGTTTCTGGTTACTTCTCTTTTCAGAAATGTTTTCTGAGATTTTCCTGAACACTCCCTGTTCTCATAGTTTACATATCTGTCTCATCACATGGTCTTCAGTACGTAAACTTGAGCTAAACGTATACTTCACCTTGTTATTTTTAGACAAGAGAATTTGTCTCTTATAGACCTCTTGAACAAACAAGATTTATAATAAAAAAAAGTCTTGTTTTAATATTTAAAGGTCCAATATTTAAAAATGTTGTGGCGAAATAATCACAAAACTGTCCAATTCCTTTACTTGCTTTACACATTTTACACATCTATCTAGTTGTACCATTTCTTGAAAACTCTCTTATCAGATTAATCATATTTTTGGTGCATTTTACCCTCTGAAGGCTGAAATTACCCAATTTTGATCAAAACATCTTTGTTTTTACAAACTTTGTAAAGTTCAAGCATCTGCAATTGGTGGGTGGGAAAGTCTGTAATCAAAATTAAAAGTAATAGACCTTGTGGTTACAGAGATATACTCATTAAAGTGTGTTTATGTCATCTGTGCCTCATTAAAAAAATTAATAATAATTTTTTTTATTATTATTGCCCCTGAGCAGGTCTGGGTGGGGGTTTTGGGGGCTCGGGTGTGGGGGTAGCCGGCCCCGTGTGGGGATCTGGGCGGGGCCTTGGGGGTCGGGTCCTGAAATGTATGCTGCCGGTAAGAAGGCGGGAACATGCGGCAGTGCCTGGCCGGGGCTCAGGGGCCTCGGGTAGACCTTGGCTCCCCTGCTGTCCCATCACAGGGGAGGGGGATGTCCAGGAAGGGGAGGATCCAACCTTACCTGGATGTCCTATGTCTTATATATTCTGGAAGTTGTGCAAATGCAGGTATGGGAGTCGATTTTCTGCTGGGGTGGGGCTGGGTTGGTGCCCTCGGACTCCGTGAGGCTCTGTGATGCTGCTGCTTTGGGCCCTGGCGAGATGGGCTGGGGTCTCCATGCCCTGGGTGGCATTTTGGCAACGAAGGTGCATTGGGGCCAGTGAGGGAGCTGGCTCCCTGGAAGGCTTAAGTCCAGCCAGCTATTCCTCCCCATCCCCACACATTTTTCTCCTCCTGCTCCCTCACATCATCACACAAACATGCACATAAGACCTTGGGGGGTGGACAAGTCAGGGGGTGCAAGTATGGACCCCATTTCCACATTCCTGTGGCAACCTGCCCCCCAATTTGCTGTGTGGGCAATACCAAAGCTAGTGGAGGTAAAACGATCCAAGGAAACCTGTTCAGTGAAAAGTCTCGTACTGTTGTCTTTACGGTCATTCCATCCCTACTAACTGGAAGTGCTGAACATATGATGGGTTTACTGTAATTGGCGACATTATCCATAGAAGACCTTCACAGGATTTTTAACCGTTTTTGATACACGTTTACTGTTTTCAGTTACTACACTAAACAGGGAAAATCTGCAGACCTCTGACTTGACATGATTGTAGCTGCATTTTGAGCAGCAGGCACGTGCAGAGCGGGGGGCGGAGGGTGCTTGAGACCCTGCCCCTTTTGTCCCATGTGCCCAAAGTGCCCTTTTTGAGGTTTAATGATTTATTTATATATTTTCTTAATTTATTTTTTTAAAGAATTTTCTGTTTGTGCCCCCTCAACAATAACAAAAATAATGAATAATACAATTTCTGTTTAATAATGTTATGTAGCTGGCGTGAGTCACGTGACCATACCTTCTCTTCCTCATGCCAGAGCGCACAGCCGGTTACAACAAGCTGCAAGCACCCACGTTTTCTTCATGGCCGAGGGAGCGGTGCAGAGCTTTTAGGAAATACATATTGATTGGGAGAAACGGACTAACACCGGTAAGTAGGATGCACACTAGTGTACACAGTTATTAGATTATTTTGTAGATTATTAAGTTGTTTTGTGGCCCTAAGTGTGTGTGATATATTACTAGCTGGGTGTGTGTCTGTGGCTGGGTACCGATTCTGAACCTCAGAAGCTTTAGGATTAACCAAAAACATTCTGTACATAAGTACTTGTACAAAAATATTTTTTCAATCTTAAATATTGGGAATTTGCCAATAAAATGTCATTGTTGTTAACTAGGTACTGCAAAGTTGCATTCCTATTGCTGCTGCGTGTCACGTGACTGGGGTCTCACACAGCCCTGCTTCTTGTTTACATAATCACTTCCTGGTTCGCAGATTGATAAAACTTGACCAAATTTAAAATGTAGCTTTTGTGAAAGGAAATAAGAAAAATACTAAAGGTAAAATCCGTCACAAGTTTTGTGTTACAAAATATTCAGTCCTTGTCTGTAAATTCTCCTCCTTGAACCGTCACCTTATCGTGGTGGAGGAGTTTGAGTGCCCTAATGATCCTAGGAGCTATGTTGTCTGGGGCACTTGGTGCCCCTGGTAGGGTCTCCCATGACAAATTGGTCTTAGGTGAAGGGTGAGACAAAGAACGGTTCGAAGGATCTTTCATGGCGGTTAAAACGAAGAGTCGGAGTACCCGGCCCGGAGGGTTACCGGGGTCCCACCCTGGAGCCAGGCCTGGGGTTGGGGCCCGTGAGCGAGCGCCTGGTGGCCGGGCTTTCGCCCATGGGGCCCGGCCGGGCCCAGCCCGAACCGGATACATGGGCTCGTCCAACTGTGGACCCACCACCCGCAGGAGGAACATGAAGGGTCCGGTGCAATGCGAATCGGGTGGCAGACCAAGGCGGGAGCCTTGGCGGTCCAATCCCCGGACAAGAAAACTAGTTTTTGGGACATGGAACATCACCTCGCTGGCGGGGAAGGAGCCGGAGCTTGTGGCAGAGGTTGAGCGGTACCGGCTAGATATAGTCGGACTCACCTCGACACATTGCATTGGCTCTGGAACCCGAGACCTGGAGAGGGGTTGGACACTCTACTTTGCTGGAGTTGCTCCGGACGAGAGGCGGAGGGCTGGGGTTGGCTTTTTGTTAGCCCCGAGACTCTCTGCCTGTGTGTTGGGGTTTACCCCGGGGGACAAGAGGGTAGCTTCCTTGCGCCTTCGGGTCGGGGAACGGGTCCTGACTGTTGTTTGTGCTTATGGGCCAAATATCAGTTCAGAGTACCCACCCTTTTTGGAGTCCCTGGGACGAGTGCTAGATAGTGCTCCATCAGGGGACTCCATTGTCCTGCTGGGGGACTTCAATGCTCACGTGGGCAATGACAGCTTGACCTGGAGGGGTGTGATTGGGAGGAACGGCCCACCTAATCTGAACTCGAGCGGTGTTTTGTTATTGGACTTCTGTGCAAGCCGCAGTTTGGCCATAACGAACACCATGTTCGAACATAAGGATGCCCACCGGTACACTTGGTACCAGGGCAGCCTAGGTCACAGGTCGATGATAGATTTTGTAGTCGAATCATCTGACCTGCGGCCGTATGTTTTGGACACCCGAGTGAAGAGAGGGGCGGAGCTGTCAACTGATCACCACCTGGTGGTGAGTTGGATCAGATGGCAAGGGAACATGCCGCGTAGACCTGGCAGACCCAAACGCATAGTGAGGGTCTGCTGGGAACGCCTGGCAGAAGAACCTGTCAAGACGGTCTTCAACTCCCACCTCCGGCAGAGCTTTGACCACGTCCCGAGGGCAGTGGGGGACATTGAGTCCGAGTGGGCCTTGTTCCACTCTGCGATTTTCTAGGCGGCTGTTGCTAGCTGTGGTCGTAAGGTGTTCGGTGCCAGTCGTGGTGGCAACCCCCGTACCCGCTGGTGGACACCAGAGGTTCGGGGAGCCGTCAGGCTGAAGAAGGAGGCCTACAGGGCGTGGCTGGTCTGTGGGTCTTCGGAGGCAGCAGACAGGTACCGGATAGCCAAGCGGGGTGCAGCAGTGGCAGTTGCCGAGGCAAAATCTCGGGCGTGGGAGGAGTTTGGTGAGGCCATGGAGAAAGACTATCGATCGGCTCCAAAGAGGTTCTGGCAAACTGTCCGGCGCCTCAGGAGAGGAAGGCAGCAACTCGCTCACACTGTTTACAGTGGGGATGGGGAGCTGCTGACGTCAACTGAGGCTATAGTCGGACGGTGGAAGGAATACTTTGAGGAGCTCCTCAATCCCACCAATGCGCATTCCGAGGAGGAACCAGAGCTGGGAGGCCTGGGGATGGACTGTCCGATCTCGGGGGCAGAAGTTGCTGAGGTAGTCAAACAACTACACAGCGGCGGAGCCCCGGGGGCGGATGAGGTTCGTCCTGGGTATCTCAAGGCTATGGATGTTGTAGGGCTGTCATGGTTGACACGTCTCTACAACATTGCGTGGTCATCGGGGGCAGTTCCTAGGGAGTGGCAGACCGGGGTGGTGGTCCCCATCTTTAAGAAGGGTGACCTGAGGGTGTGTTCCAACTATAGGGGGATCACACTCCTCAGCCTCCCTGGAAAGGTCTACGCCAAGGTACTGGAGAGGAGGGTCCGATCGATAGTTGAATCTCAGATAGAGGAGGAGCAATGTGGTTTTCGTCCTGGCCGTGGAACTGTGGACCAGCTCTATACCCTTGCAAGGGTGATGGAGGGGGCATGGGAGTTTGCCCAACCAATCCACATGTGCTTTGTGGATTTGGAGAAGGCTTATGACCGTGTCCCCAGGGGCACCCTGTGGGGGACGCTCCAGGAGTATGGGGTGGGTGGCTTTCTGTTAAGGGCCATTCAGTCCCTTTACCAGAGGAGCGTGAGTTTGGTCCGCATAGCCGGTAGTAAGTCGGACCTGTTCCCAGTGAGGGTTGGACTCCGCCAGGGCTGCCCTTTGTCACCGGTTCTGTTCATCACTTTTATGGACAGAATTTCTAGACGCAGCCGTGGTGTGGAGTGTGTCGAGTTTGGTGGCAGGAGAATCTCGTCTCTGCTTTTTGCGGATGATGTGGTCCTCCTAGCTTCATCCAGCTCTGACCTTCAGCTCTTGCTGGGTAGGTTCGCGGCCGAATGTGAAGCGGCTGGGATGAGGATCAGCACCTCCAAATCTGAGACCATGGTTCTCGACCGGAAAAGGGTGGCTTGCCACCTCCGGGTCGGGGGAGAGGTCCTACCTCAAGTGGAGGAGTTTAAGTATCTCGGGGTCTTGTTCACGAGTGAGGGTAGGGGGGATCGGGAGATCGACAGGCGGATTGGTTCGGCGTCTGCAGTGATGCGGACGCTGAGCCGATCTGTCGTGGGGAAGAGGGAGCTGAGCCAGAAAGCCAGGCTCTCGATCTACCGGTCGATCTACGTCCCAATCCTCACCTATGGTCATGAGCTTTGGGTAATGACCGAAAGAATGAGATCGCGGATACAAGCGGCCGAAATGAGTTTCTTCCGTAGGGTGGCCGGGCTCAGCCTTAGAGATAGGGTGAGGAGCTCGGACATTCGGGAGGGACTCGGAGTAGAACCGCTGCTCCTCTGGATCGAAAGGAGCCAGTTGAGGTGGTTTGGGCATCTGGTCAGGATGCCTCCTGGACGCCTCCCCGGGGAGGTGTTTCGGGCATGTCCTGCCGGCAGAAGGCCCCCGGGTCGACCCAGGACACGTTGGAGAGGTTACATCTCCAATCTGGTC